CACTAGGTATATGATTTTAGTTTCGTCATTTAAAAATTAACATTATAACTTTTCCTATTTGTTACTTTGCAACTTTAACCATTTAATCAATTTTCAGTTATATAAGATGAAAAAATTTGTACCACATTTACTTTCTTTCACCCATTTCCTCTCCCACTCATCTCCAGTTTTCTGCTAGTTATGCCATGATTTTTTACAAGGTTTAAAATATTTACAGACTGTTCTATAAAAATAATTGTCTTCTATGCTGTATAGGTTGATTCTAGAAACAGCACGATAATTAATATTTCTAATATTATAATTATATAACGTGTGTACATATGTTTACTTATATTTTCATGTATAGTCAAGTATTTGGAACAGTACAGATTTAGTCATTTATTTAAAAAAGTCCTCCTGCCCTAGAGAGTTGTATGCTTTTTGTGTATAGATCAATGTTCTGGTTCACTAGAGAAGGAGCACAGGCTCCAAATAGGGGTAAAGACTATATGCCGTGCCCCCGCCCCCACCACCTGCCAGTAGCCCGTGTTCCTGCAAAGTTCCCCCAGAGGACAGAACCTTGGGAGGAGAATGGATGAAAAGCATTGTCATCACTCTAGAATGTTGCCCCGTTTTTCCCATTTCCAGGTGTTCATTTTCTCCAGTGAATGGGACTGTATAAGGGAGTCTGTTCACTGGGCATCAGTCTTGTGCACTGGTTAAGAAGGCAGATTCAGGAACCAAGTTGCCAGATTCAAAATACAGCTCTTTTACGGGCAAGTTACTTAATTCATGCCTCACTTTCCTTACATGTACCTATCTCATATGGGGTTGTCATGGGAATTAAATGAGTGACGATTATGGGGAAAGAGCTTGGAGCAGAAGTGCCTGCACTTAATAAGTACCACAAAAGTCTTTGTTGTTGTTTTTGGTGTTATTATTATTGTTGTTATTATTATTATTATTATTATTAGGGAAGAAGTACCTAAATGCTTTTACAATAACGATTAAATATTTAATTGGCTTTTACTCGTACATTTTATTTTATACATGATATTTCACGTAGAACATATCTCTACTAAGTTAAAACAAATGAAGTATATGTGCATTGACTCACTCATAAGCTTGGTTACAGAAATATTTGAGAAACTTGTCATCAAACTTTTCTTTTTTGGGAAGAAGTACCTAAATGCTTTTACAGTAATGATTAAATATTTGATTGGCTTTTACTCGTACATTTTATTTTATACATGATATTTCACGTAGAACATATCTCTACTAAGTTAAAACAAATGAAGTATATGTGCATTGACTCACTCATAAGCTTGGTTACAGAAATATTTGAGAAACTTGTCATCAAACTTTTCTTTTTCTACATAATATCACATTTTTTCTCTGGCTGCTTTTTGATTTTCTTCTTTTTATTGGTTTTTAACAATTTGATTATGATGTGCCTTGGATTTTTTTTTCACATGTTTTTTGTGCTTAGGTTCATTGGTCTTGAATCTGTGGGTCTATAGTATCCACCAAATTGGAAAAATATTGGTCATGATTTCTTCAAATATATTTTTCTTTATTTCCAACCCGTGTCCCCCGTCTCTTCTTTATTCTGGGGACTCCAGTTACACATATGTGTTGCTATTCAAAGTTGTCCCATAGTTCACTAATGCTCTATTTATTTTGTAGGTATTTTTTTCTCTCTGTATTTCATTTTAGACAGTTTCTATTGATAGGGTTTGAAGTTCACTAATCTTTTCTTCTTCAATCTCTAATCTGGTACTCATTCCATCGAAAAGTATTTTGTTAAATCACAGACATTGTTGATTTTGTCAAAAAGACTCAGACCTGCCGTCCAAGTCTTTTTTAATATCTCTCAAGCCTCTACTTAACATGATCAACCTTTCCTCTGGATTTTTGAATATAAGAAATTTCTTTGTAATAATGATTTTAAAGCTTGTGTTTACTAATTTTTTCAACTGTATCATTTCAGGATTGGTTTTCTTCTCACTATGAGTTGTATTTTCCTGCTTCTTTTTGATTGGATGCTAGACTGTGAATTTTATCTTGTTGGGTGCATATTTTTATATTCCAAAAGATATTTTTGAGCTTTATTCCAGCATGTGTGTAAATTACTCAGAAACAATTTGTTCTTTTTGGGTCTTGTGTTTAAGCCTTGTTCCACTGGACTATAAGAGCTTTCAGTCTGCAGTTAATTTTGCCTACTATTAAGGCAAGTCCCTTCTCAGTACTCTAATACCTTATGAAGTATGAGGTTTTCTGTCTTGGCTTTTGGGAACAGGCTCTATGCACTTTGTCTGTATGCTCTGAGAATTTTTCTTTCTAACCTCTTCCCATCCTTGCGTAGTTTCTCCAGTCCTATGTACTGATCCATGGACACCTGAATGCTGGAGAGAAAACCATCTTGGCTTCCCCTCGCTTCAGCCTCCCTCTCCCTAACTTAGGGGACTTAGGGCTCTGCCTGAGGCAGTCTCAGGGCTCATCCTGTGTGTTTCCCATCTCTTACTGTCTTCATTTTCTCATGTCCAATGTCTTCAGAGCCATTTTTTCACATATTTTATCCAGCGTTTTAATCGTTTAAAGTGTGAGGTTAAATCTGCTCCCTGTTACTCCATCTTGGCCAGAAGTAGAAATCATCCTGCCCTAGGCTTAACTTTAAAAAATATTTTTTAACAAGAATGGAAACAAATAGTCCTTGTCCAACTCCCAGGACGAAATTCTTGAGGCAGCCATATTCATTCATCTCTTAAGTACTTTTTTCCTGATATTCCCTTCAGATTTTGTACCTCTCGTCACCTCTCTGCTCAGGGAGCCCTTCCTGACCACACTGTCTAAAACATCACCCTTGTCCAGCTCTGTCTCATTTCCCTGCTGTTTTGTTCTTTCCAGCCCTCTTTATTTCTCATCTTTTTTTTTTTTTTTGGAGTCAGAAGGAAAGTTTATTAGAAAAGGGATAACACTCTACAGACAGTGTGGTCTCCTCTCAGAGACAGAGAGTGGGACAGTGACAATAGACGAGGACAGTGAGAGAGACAAAGTAAAAGCACTGAGAAGGACAGTGACAATAGAGAGAGACAAAGACAGTGAGAGAGAGCCCTTCTTATTTCTTGACATCACCATATTTGTTCATATGTTTATAGTCGGTCTTCCTCACTAGATAGGATGTACGCTCCATGAAGGCTGAGCTCCTGCCTGTTTTGTTCACTGCTGAATACACGGAGCCTAGAACAACTCCTGGGCACATTGTAGGCTCTCAGAAAATATCTATTAAAAAAATTTAAAAATGGATGCCAAATACTGTACTTTGAGCTTTCCAAACCTTGTCCTGTGCTGCCCCCACCTTACAGGAAACTACTAAGTTTTCCAGGAGAGCAAAGCAGGAAAAGGGTTTTACAGGTGGTAGGGACAGCATGTGTCAGAAACTCTTTTGAAAAAAATGTCTGGTATTGAATTCAGGAAAATAGGATTTATTAAATTGACTCCATTTCTTGCTTCTCGCTGTCATGGAATTTCTGATTAACCAGCTTCCTTTCCAAGATGTTTTTCCAGAATTTAAAGGAAAAAAAATTAACATTAGGTATATTGTGCATTTTTAAAATGGCAACGTAATAAAAATACTAGAATTAAAATGTATCACACAATTTCCTCTCTGTGTGTGTATATCACCCCCACCCCCTCCTCTCGTGAATTTAGCGATTGTGAAAAGTATCTGTGGAACTTAGTAATGGAACCATCTGGTCGATAGAAGGGACAACATTCCATGTGTCTTATCCTGGCCTTCAAGAGGGGGCACCTTGAGGTGTGACTTGGTAGGTTGAACCTTACCAAATCTTCAACTTTCTTTTATGGATTCTGCAGCAAACGTGCCAATTGAAGAGTTGGTTTTTGTGATGGAACCCAAAGTAACTGGACTCAAAACATAACTTATTTATTTCATGCAGCTCAGCAGGTGGAAACTGCTTTCCTTGCTCCCACATTGTCCTGCTTTAAATCTGGGACCTGACACTACAAAAGAGGCTCTGTATCTTATTAACCACATCCCCAACTTGAAGCTTCTTTTGTTTGTGTTTCTCAGGCTGTTTTTTTCATACTAGTTGTGGTAGTGTCTTTGAAGAATAATTGTCTTTAATGCATTAGAAAACAATTATTTTCTAAAAAATAATGTAGGTATATCTGAAAGTTTGAAGCATATGCATATATTTTTAGAAGAAAATATTTTCATGAATTCACCAAAGAAAAGTATTTTTAGGAGGAATACCTGGAAAAGCAAATGTTAGAATAAAATATTGATTAAATTGGTAAAAATTTAACTATTTAATAAAAGCAGGTTTCTTAAACTGAGTCATGCAACAGATCTTGTTTCTGATTTGAAGAAGCACAAAGATAACAAACATATCTGATGTTTGATGACATAATATCTGGCTTTCCAAAAAAGTTATATTTACATATAAGGCAGAAATATAGCACCATAGGGATCTATTTTTCTAATGACAGTGTGTGACCTTGTATCTCATATGCTAACTTTAAGTTCTTTTTAGAGGTAAAGTAAGCATGCTTTTAACACTGTTCATGTCATATGACTTCAATTTAGTTTTTTTTTCCCCGAAGGGCAGTTGAAATAAGAAATTAGACTAAGTAATTGAATAGTATTCCTTCATCTCAGTGTTGACAAACTCACTAAGCAAAAGAGGATTCAAAGACAAATTTGAAAATAACAGAGCACCTTCTCTTTGGTTCCTGCCCAGCACCCTTCCCCCACCCCACCTTAACATTGCGTTTTCATGAGCAATTCACAATATTTCTCATCCCTTCTTCCCAGTCTTGACCCACTGACCTAAGAATCAAGAAAATGTCATGTTAGTGCCTACTAATTAGTGCACCCAGAGAGCCTTTTCATCTGGCCTTTCAACCTTCTGGAGGTGGAAGCACAAGCTGTCACTCTATCATGCAGGAAAACGAACCTTTCCCACACTTCCCCTGTTTTGCAAACAGCGGAATAAGCCCAGCTGAGACTACAGATGAATATTCAGGTTAGGAAGAAATTAACCTAAAATGCTCTACTCTTTGCATGATTGTCTTACAAGTGACACAGCACCACCCCCATCGCAACACTCGTAAGGGCATATCTCAGGCCTGAGATTTTTACCAGACTCTGGCAGTCACATCCGACCTTTATCTCAATAGCATCATCTGCATTTGGTGAAATAATTTCGAGGACTATCCTCTGGTTAAAAAGTTAAGGAGCATTTTAAGGCATTTATGTTTCCATTGCCTTTAAACACATTTGCGAGGATACTGCAGTTTGTTAGTGAGCATTTGCTTGAGTGCTCATTAATCAGGCTGTTGGGCCAGGGGTCTCCTGAGCCTTCTGGGTTTTGGGGGATCAGCTACTGTAATTAAAGGGATGAAATATATCATGGTCACAAACTTACCACATCAGACAATTGAGGGTTTTAAACTGGTGGAATTAATCTTTTTAATTTTTTCCTTAGGTGTTTAAGATAGAAGTGCTAATGAATGGAAGAAAACATTTTGTTGAGAAAAGGTACAGCGAATTTCACGCTTTGCACAAAAAGGTAACTTTTTCCCCCTCCTTTTCTCTATATGGCAGAGAGTATCATGTTAAGACTGCTTTCTGGGTTTCCTGAGAGCATGAATAGTTCTTGGAACAGTATGCCTTCTTTTAAAATAAAATCTTAAAATAAACTAGTCCTTTACAGGTGTGCTTTCTGAGTAGGCGGGTTTTCTGTTAAGATCTTTTACATAAATAGATGTTAGAAGGCATGCTGTTTGCAGTGTGCCGTGCTGGGTGTTGTAGGTTCAGAAAGAATAAGACCCAGACCCTGTTTCACCTGTAAAATATACTTAGTGGGCTTTACAAAAAGGAAAAGAAAAAAGCAAGTGATAATTTTATAGCAAGAAATTTCTTAAAATCAACTTATACTTACATGTACCTGGCAAAAGTAACATACATGTCACATGTAGTCAAAGACTGGGGAACATGTAAAAGGGGGCTCACAGCCTTCTATTGAATTGTAAAGGCCACTTTACAAGACTGGTGTTTCATTAAAAGTCTTAGATAAAAGAATCAAGAATGCAAAAGGAATAGCTGAATTTTGGAGAAATTGTCAGTAAAGAATAGAAGAGTGAATACTTTATTTCCTACCAAAATTTTATGTTTGCAGGTTATAAATTATTGGGGTGCTGAAATTACCTTAATAACTAGAAATACCTCAAGAAATTGGCCAGAAAATTACCGTGTATGAATTACTGCAATTTCACCATTTTCTTTCAGATATATACATATTCATATTGTGTCTATGTGTGTATATATACTTTATATGTGTGAACATATATATACCCTTAATGCACACATATCGATAAAATGTATGGCATAATTCAATTTCCTCACTTTTGTTACTTAGGTAAGAAATTAGATGGGAAAATAGTAAGTAAGAATTTTAAGAAAGAGTCTATTCTTTTCATTTCATTAAACACCTCTTAAATCCTCTGGGAAATGTCAGTGCATAAATGATATGATAGTGTGCTTACTGCTTACTCTGTATTAAAAGTTCTTCGGTATCGTTTAAAATTAAATTTTCCATTTCTTTTTTTTTAAGCCAGGAGAATAGAGTCTCGAGTAGAAACTAATAGGGTATAAAGAGGAACTCTACGTTATCTGTACTCTTGTCTGTTAGGATGGCAAGGGATAATTTACGTTTAATTCTCCAGTTAAAATTTTGTTACATCCAGGTTTACTTCCAAAAGAAACAACACAGGTGAGCACAGATTTAGGTGGGGTGTTGCCAGCGACTTTACGAAAGCACCAACCCAGAGGTCCCCAAGAGAAACAAACCTGGAGTCTGGGTCTCACTTCCTTCTCAAGGAATTCTGTTTTGTTTACTGTTTTTCGAAGAAACAGATTTTCTATTGGGTACCTCATAAAATATATCCTTACAGTGAGATGGAAACCAGAATTCCACCCCCCTCGCAGCCTCCCATGACCAGAGTCTGGACTAGGCAGCCTGTCACATGCAAGCCTCCTTCCCAACCTCCCAGGACAGTGCCCAGCTCTCTATGACCCCGACACAACCCAGCTGTCCTTGCTAGATACTCAGGGACAACTCCACATGAGGCACAGCTGGGTGACTGCCAATTAGGCCTGCCCTGAGCAAGAGGCTGCTCAAGCTTCTTGGAGTGGAATGTCCTTCACCCTGTTCTCTTCTCTAATACAGTTTGCTAATGCAGAAGAGGACCTCTCCCTGGTGATTCCAGGCAGTTCTTAGATAGTCACAGTCAGAAAACGTTCCGTGATTTTTTTTAGGACTTCTCTCAATATCTGCATTTCTGTTAATTTAGCTATTCTTAAAATTCCATCACCAGGCCTACCAGAGTTAAAAGAATAGAAATTCTTTGATTTCTCAATTTTCCATGTTGTGTAACCTTGTTAAAATATCCTTACAGGGACATAGAAAAAAAGCCTTACTTTGTGAAGCGGAGTTTTAGTTGGGAGACACTATCTAATTTTATGTATTACAGAGCAGAAAGTGGCTGCTAGAAATCTTTACTTAGCCTCATTGCAGTTTTATGAGATTTGGCAAAAGACAATTAAGTACAAAAATGACAGTTAAGTACAAATAATGGTAGGGTGTAAAAACAAATATAAATCTGTAATCTTGACTATAAAATTGTATGTTAAGGATTGAAATGGGCAAAAAATTTAATCAGAATGCACAGGCTTTACCGAATACTGCTGCCACATTGTACAATTTCATCTTTTCATTAGAATTTTGGTGCCCCGATTTCCATATTTGAGTTTTGTGTTGTGCTTTGCATGTTTTGTTTTTACATTTTACATTCTCCCTTTAAGTACAGTTAAATTTATTTTCTCTCTTTCTCTTTTTTTTCCCAAAATATTCAACTATTTCTGCAGCGGATGCAATTTTCTCATTTGCCTGTGTCCTGATTTTTCTTACACTTCATATTGTATTTCTCACTTGTTAAAAGTGTTTAACCAAAGTCCCCAAGTTAATTCAAAAATAGTATATGAGCTATTAACAAGCACTTTGTACCTTCAGAGTAATAGATACATAACTCTTCTCCATGTACCACAAACACACAAAAATGCCTCCTGGTGTCTTGTCAGGCTAATTTAGAGGCAGAAACTAAAACCATTACCCATTTGACAGTTCATCTGATTGTCTGAAGTTATTGGTTATTACTTCTCTCAAACTTTTATAATTGTTGATATTAAAATATGAAAACAATATCTTAATTGTTTACCCTTTTCTTAGAATTTTTTTCTACTATTTTGAAAAATTCAGGTTTTTTTCCCTATGTGCATTATTTTCCTCATTTCAAGTATCTTTTAGATTATAAAGCTAAATCCTGCAGAAAATCTGGGGCTAGAGGAAACAACCCATTTTTACCCACACATATTTCTGCTATCCTAATACAGTTCCTATTTTCTTTCTTTTCATGATTTTTTAGTAAAACAACTGCTGCTGTGCTAATGATGTTCCCACATGGTAGGAGCTATGTTGTAGAAATTATACCAGCTCTGGAAACACAGTGTTCCCCATCATGTCCTTGGAGCAAGTCACATGATCTTTCTGTGCCTCAGCTTCCCCATTTTTAGTATGGGAATAAACAGAGTACTGACTTCACAGGATTGTTTTACAGACTAAATGAAATCATGTGTATCACATGGTCAACTTCCAATAATTGATAGCCTTCATTACATATAATTTTTTCTCCGTACTCAAGAGTGTTCCCTTAAGCTAGTTACTAAAAGAAGCATTCTCTGTCATAAAATATAGATATTTTGTCTACAGCCATGCCACCTTGAACAAGCCCGATCCCGTCCGATCTCGGAAGCTAAGCAGGATCGGGCCTGGTTAGTACTTGGATGGGAGACCACCTAGGAAGATCAAGTGCTGTAGGTGTAAAAAAAAATAAAATAAAATAAAAAAGTATGGATATTTTTACAGCTCCTGATGTATATTGTCAAATTACTTTTTTCCAAAATGGTTATAGTGGATTTATAATGCAACCAGCAAGTTTGAAAATATCACATCTTATCGGCTTTGAATATTACCCCCCAAAATATTTAGCAAGCAATTTGTATTGCCTTGTTGCTATTTTAATTGATATTTCTTAAGTTCGTTTACGATCGTAGTCCTTCTTTTGGAATTCTGTTCACGTGCTTTCCCATTTGTCTGCTGGGGTCTCAGTTCTTTTTTGCTCATTAGTTTGTGTGGCCTATTAATAATATATTAGCCATTCGCTTAAAGTATTTTTCACCAAGGCCCTTCTTTTGGCTTTGATATTTATTTTAAATTACAAACATTTTTAATTTTTATGTTGTCTAATATGTCAATTTTCACTCCTTCAGATTTTATGTAAGATTAGTTATTTCTTCCAGAGCTATGATGAGTATTTGATTCCATTTCCTTTAGCTTTTTTTTGACTGGTATTTCTTAAAGTGTGAACTTTGGATCGCCTGAATCAGAACAGGGTTTACCGAAGTAGTTTCCTGGATATTACCCAGACATGCTGAATCAGAATCTTCGTGATGGAGCCCAGTAATCTGCATGTTAAACCAGCATCCCAGATAATCTTCCTGCCTGTTGATGTTTGAGAATTCTTATAGTGTGGTTACATTTTTAAAGGCATCTCTTAAACACAATCCTCTCTTCCCTCCCCCTATCATGTGCACTGAAGCCACAAGTTTGAGACATTGGAGTTCTTTACTACTTTCTCTTACCTTCCATATTCAGAGTGTCACCAAGTCCTGTTGATGCATTCTTCTACATTTCTATAATATGGACCATTTTGTTTTTCATTTTCTGCTCCCGCTATCCCCAATCCAGAGTCTTACTACTTTACGTATTTCTCTAACTATTTCTGATCTTTGTCTACTTCTTCATCCTCTGATGCAGATCTATTTTCCTAAAGCACTATTTTCAGCTTTATTCTTTCATTCAAATACATTGAAGTGGGTCTGTATTGTCTACCAAATCATGGACATTGACTCTCAAAGTCAATAATCTTAAACCCTATATTAGTTTCCTATTCTACTGTAATAAATCATCACATATTTTGCTTAAAAAACACACATTTATTATCTTACTCTAAGTGTGTTGGCATGCCTGCGTTTCATGGTGGTGGCGGAGAGGGGTAGGGGGCTCTAGGAGGGAATCAGTTTCTTTGCCTTTGCAGCTTCTAGAGGCTACCCACATTCCTTGGCTCATGTCCATCTTCCATCCTCAAAGCCAGCAATCATGTCACTTCAGTTTCTGCTCCCATCATCACATCTCCTCTGTAAGACTGATACTTCTGCTCCCCCCTTAAGCTTGCATTGGGCCTCCCTGGGTAATCCAGGAGAATCTTTCCGTCTCAGGATGCTTGACTTAGTCACACCTGCAGAGTCCCATCTGCCGTGTAAGGTCATACATTCACAGGTTCCGAGGCTCAGGACATGCACATAGTTGGGGGAGACCATTATTCTGTCTACCATAAACCCTTTTACTGGCCAGTCTTTTTTCTCACTGCTTCTAAGAAAACGTCAATGGCAGCCAATCCCATCTCCCCATTCACCCCAGTATGTGAAAATCGCTACCTCTCTGTCCTTGCCATGCTGGATGTCTTTCCCTCTGTCTTCTCATCTATTCAAAACAGACTAAAACATTTGGAGTTCTCCGTTTTCCACGTGAGTCTCTTTTACTCTCTAATCTTTTTGTTCTTAGAATTCCTATTCCATTTAGAGTAGAGATTTCTACTTAAATTAAAATTCTCCAAGGCAAGAGTTACCAACCCCTGGGCTGTGGACCGGTACCAGTCCGTGGCCTGTTAGGAACCAGGCCTCACAGCAGGAGGTGAGTGGCGGTTGAGTGAGCGGAAGATTCATCTGTATTTGCAGCCGCTCCCCAGCGCTAGCATCACTGCCTCAGCTCCACCTCAGATCATCAGGCATTAGATTCTCATAAGAACACCGGTCCCTAAAACTTAGTTATCCCTAAGTTTTGTTTAACTAGAATACATTTTTTAAAAAGTAGGGCCTATGTCTTGTCTTTTGTATTTTCCTCACTGTCTGTTAGTCTTGGGCACCTATTGGTCATTAAGTATTTGGAAAATGGGATATTTGGAGGACATTACGCATACTTAGAAATTACTGGAGGAATGTTTCATTGACAAGAACAGTGTCTACCATGGGAGTTTAGTTCATTGTAGGTTTAGCCTCAGGTTACATTTGTATTTCCTCTAACTCTGCTAGTACTAGGTGGGAAAATAACCACCACCACATTGAAACCAGAACAAACCCCCACTCTGGTCCTCTCCATTCACTCTTAGCACATTGTCCTTAAAAAAAAAAAAAAAAAAAAATTCCAGGGTGCTCTCCTTACTGCCCAAGCCGCCATGATGGGGTGAGCATCAAACTTGTTTCCCACATTCCAGCAGTGCCTCCTCACGCCCACCACACCGAGTAATTTACCAGTTTAAATGGTGGTCCTGGAAAACAGCTTCCCCTCCCCAGGCCAGAACCACAGGTGTGGAGAGAAAAACCTTCCCTGTGTAGCAAACTCTGAGCATATTTTGCTTGCCTTTCTAGCTGTTTCCTGTCATTTCCAGCCCACCCGTTTATTCACAAAGGTTTTTGGGAAACATGGTGCTGGTTCATTCCTACATTAACTGTCCTCATTCCTGTTGCTGCCCACCTTTGGCCTGAGTAAAATATTGCATTCTCATATTTAATTTAATGAAGTACATATTTCAGAAGAATCGAAAAACTGCCATACGGGTTGAACCAGGAGTATAGCACCCCACGTAGAGCCTCTAAAGGGGGCCCCGAGGATAGAGAGGTGACAATATGGAGTCAGAGATTGAATTTCACCCCAGACGTCCCCCACTTCTTTCCTTAATTTTTTTTCCTTTTCATCTTTTTATCCATTGCTTGGGGAAAGTATTTCTGTCCCTCTCTGTGACTGTGGTTACTATGAGCAGTGTGTATGCAGATATCTGTACGGAGTGAGTTCTGTGTAAACTCTTCTAACGGTATAAGAAGAGACAGGAGCAGTCACGCCAGGCAAAGGGGATTGTGTTTGTGGCATCGTGAAATCTGGTGGCTATCTGCGAGATCAGAAAGGCCGCTTGGCTGGGCGCAGCACGGCCAGAACAGTTCATTATCGCAGGCGGTGGCAGAGGGGCATTTATCTTGGAAGCAGCTGAGCCCTACTAGAAATATACTGTCTCAGGTTTGTCTCTCCTCATCTGAAGCAATTCATCACTCACCTGCATCTGCTGTCACAGGTCCCAGCAGCTCTGATGACTGGCTTCCTCGGTACTCCTGGCAGAAATGAAAAGGAAACATGTTTTCCGTACTAGAGCTTTAAGATGTGTGTGTGTGTGTGTGTGTGTGTGTGTGTGTGTGAGAGAGAGAGAGAGAGAGAGAGAGAGAGAATATGAATGGAGTTGATTTTCTCTTATGCAATGTAAGAAATGTTATGATTCAGTAGTTTTAAAGGAAGTTTCTATATATTTAAATTGGAACTTACTAAGCTTGTTCCCACAGAACAATTACCGTTTTGGGCTCTGTTCTTGTTTGAGAAGTACCTCAACTAGTGTAGAGATGAGGTATACATTCCCTTACAATCAAATTCATTCTCTCCCCCTCTCCCCAATACTGTATCAGTCTCATTAATAAATATGTTATCTTTGCCATTTAACAAAATAAAACTCGCCTTTGACCCCATGCTCCCCTCCCATGTTCGCCCTTGCTCTCCTTCTCTCTTAATATAATTTCTTGAAAGAGGAGCGTCCACTTTCCAACTTCTCACTCTTTTTACCCAGTGTTTTTGACTTCCCAGTACCACTCCCCACAGTCTGATCATGCCCCTTCCTGACTCAGCGCACTATTTCATCCCCTCTTCACTGCTTCTCCTGCTTCTCTCCCCTACTTCCCAGAGTTGGATGTCTCAGACCGTGGCCCTTGTATTTGCTTTCTATGGCAGCATAACAGAGTACCACAAACTTTGCCATTTAGAACAGTACAAATGTATTATCAGAGTTTCTGCGGGTCAGGAGTCTGGGCACAGGTTACTGGGGTTCTCTGCTTAGGGTCTCACCAGGCTGAACTCTAGGTGTTTCCAGGGCTGTGATCTCGTCTGAAACTTGGAGTCCTCTTCGCATTGTCATGTCCTCATTTAGGCAAAATTCAGTTCCTTGCAGTCGTAGAACTGAGATCCCTTTTTTCTTGCTGTCAGCCAGGGGTAGCTCTCAGCCCCTTGAGGTCACCCTGAAGTCCTAGCCCTGTAGCCCTGTCATAACATGGCAGCTTGCTTCTTCAAAGCCTGCTAAGATTGGGTCTTATAAAGTGTTCTCTGATCAAGAGAGTTACTGTCTCATCCCCTGTCATATACTGTAACCCAATCATGAAAATGACTGATTTCATCACATTCACAGGTCCCACCTGCACCCAAGGGGGAAGGGATTATACAGGCATAAACACCAGGAGGCAGTCACATTCACAGGTCCACCTGCACCCAAGGGAAGGGATTATACAGGCATAAACACCAGGAGGCAGGGATCTTAGGAGCTATCTTAGGATTCTACTCATCGCAGCCTCTTTTCTTCATCTATACCTAACTCCAATGTCATGTCATCTAGTTCCATGGCTCTAAATAGCACTTAATTATTCTGACTTCCAGGTTTACAGACTCGTATCCAACTGTGTACACGTTATATCCATTTGGACCCTTATCGGGCATCCCTGACTTAAAATCACCAGAACTGAACAATGAATTCCTTTATGTCAAGATTATCTTTGATTGGATATCATAGAAACTTGACTAGGTTACTTAGACAAGTAAGAGATTAGTTATTCTCATATTGTAAGAAAACTAAAGGCATGAAGTCCAAATCGATGTAGCAATTCCATACTGTCCATCCAAGCACCTTTTATTTTTCTGCTTCACCATCTTTACCTTAGCATATGACTTTCACCCTCTAGTTACAGCATAGGTGCTGTCCCTCCAGGCAGTGCTTCCACATTTCTGGCAGGAAGAAGAGCCTATTTCTTTTTATGAGGAAAATAGGAGCCCTGTCCAGTAGACTTACACTGCATTTCATTGCCAGCTCTGTCACATGGCCATCCTAATGACACTGGAACTTGGGAAATCACGATTTTTTTACTCTGCATGTTGGCACTTTGAGTGACATTGGGGTGCTTTTGCAAGAAGAAGGAGGGAGTGGATATTGGATAGGCAGGTAGCAATATTAGCCATATCTCCTACTCACGTGGGATTAGATTTGGCTGCAAGCGACTCTAGAGCCAAAGTAATGGTGACATTAACAGACGCACCTTTATTTCTCTTTCACATAATGTCTAGGTTTGGTGTGGCAGTTTCATGATCATCAGGGACCTAGGCTCTTGTGGTTTTGCCGTTCTCAAAATGAGGCTTCCACCTCATGATCGAAGGTCTAGCCAATACTGGGGCAGTTCAACCAACAGGAAAGAGGAAGGAAGAGTCCTTCCCTTTGAGAATCTTCTTGAAGGTTGCACGTACATGTCTGTTTCTCTGCCTTTGACCAGAACTCAGTCATATGGCCACATGTAGCTTCAAGGGAGTTTGGAAATGTGTTCTTTATTCTGAGCAGTCACATACTCAGCTGAAAATCAGGAGTTCTGTAGAAGAGAGGGACAGTGGATTTGGGTGATTACTAGTGTTCTCGGCCATTTACCCAAAACCTTGCATTCTGCTACCTTTCCATAAACAGCAGGCAGGTCACCCAAAATATAGCTGCCAGGTGAGGTCAAAAACCTTAAAACAGTGAAGGTCTTGGAGTCATTCTGATCACTTTTACTTTCCATGTACTGCTTCAGCCTTCTTCTCCCCACCGCCACTGCCAGAACCATACTCCAATTCACCTTCACCTCTGGCCTGGACTTCTGTAGGAGCTTCTGACTGGTCTCCTTGCTCTGACTCCAGGCCAGGTATAGACCATCTTGCTCACGAAATCCAGCATAATCTTTAAAAATTATATCAAGTCATTCCCTTCCTCAAGACATTCAGTTTGCTTCCTGTTTAAAATGATAATGCAAATTCCCACCATGGTCTCCAGGGCCCTACCGTGTCTGACGCTGCCAGCTGTCAAACCCATCTCCTCCTTGCTGTAGCCCTCCCCTTTCATTGCTCTGTCTTCGTTAGAATGCTTCTTCTCCAGCTCCTTACCTGGCTCTCTCCCAACATGATTCACATCATTCCTCAGACAGTCTCACCTCACACAGTCCTTCCCCAGCTGCCTCAACACATAGCTCCTTCTGTTACTCTATGCCTTGCCCTGTTTTATTTATTTATTTTGGGTTTCCTTTAATTTTTTTTTTAATTATTGGGATGACATGGGTTAATACAATCAAATAGATTTCAAGTGTACAATTCAGTAATATGTATATTGTAATGTGTGTTCATCACCTGACATTAAATCTCCTCCCGTCATCATATATTTGACCCTCTTTACCCCGTCTACCTCCCTTTCCTCCCATTCCCTCTGGTAACCACTAATCCACTGTCCATGTCCATGAGTCTCTGTTTGTCATGTATGTTTGTTGCTTTTAGTTTTATATTCCATATATGAGTGAAATCATATGATTCTCAACTTTTTCTGTGTGACTTATTTTTCCTAGCATAAAAATCTCAAGATCCACCTATGATGTTGCAAATGGCAGTATTTCATCTTCTTTATGGCTGAATAGTATTCCATTGTATATATGTACCACATCTTTTTTATCCAGTCATCTATTAATGGACACTTTGGTTGTTTCCATGTCTTGGCCACTGTGAATAAGGCTGATATGAACATTGAGGTGCATATATCTTTGTAGATAAATGTTTTCAAGTTTTTTAGGTAGATACCCTCAAGAGGGAATTGTTGGGTCATGTGGTAATTCTATTCTTAATTTTCTGAGGAACCTCCATACCGTTGTTTATTGTCTCTTTCCTGGTACGTAAGCTCCGTGAAGGCAGGAGTATCTCTAGTACCGGAGTAACGCAGAGGAGGAGTTAAGTGTCTTTTGTTTCATGACCATCTACAGGGGCTCTTTGTTTTCCCTAGAACTTTTTCTAATAGACAAAAGAATAATGTACTTTATGTAACCGATCCTAAAGTTTATATTTCTTTTCCATACTATCCACTGCATGGAATCAACTTTCTTCCAGGAAACTCCCCTTCTCAAATCCTCTGAACTTTTGCTCCAACCTAGACTGATGGTTCTCTAGGCTGCTGTGCCCAGCTGTCCTTAGATTTCCTTTCCCCATGCTGATGGGATAGAGCTTTGAGTCCTGATCCTATTTTTCCTCTTCCTTGCTTTAATCACTCAGTTTTCTGGAATCACATGCTCAACTTTGTGTAAAAGAAGGCATCTGGGATAAGCTTTTTCAGTCCTTGAATGTCTGGGAATGCATTTGTTCTGTCACACTTGATCAATGGTGTGCCTAGTTATAGAAATCCATTTTCAAATTAGATCTTTGAAGCATTGATCTGGCATTCACTGCTGCTGATGAGAAGAAGTCAGTTGCCATTGCACTTCTGCTTCCTTCATTTGCCACCTAATGTTTTTTTCTCTGTCTTCTCTCTGTCCTTGATATTCTACCATCTCGAAAGATAAGTGTCAGTTAGTGTGGGTCTTTTTTAGTATATTATACTGGTATGCGATGGGTTCTTAATCTGAAGATATAAATGAAATCACAAAATTATTTTTTTATTCTTTGAGAATCTCTCTTATTCCTTAATGGAAGGCTCATTAATTTTATATTAAATCTCCTTGGTTATTCCTATATGTGTTTTTTCACCTACCTTTTCTCTCATTTTTTAAATTCTTTTCTCTAATTTTTTTAATTCTACATTTTGAGAGACTTCTATGATTTTATATTCTACCTCTATTAATTTATTTCTCTGTCATATTTTTAAATTCACAAAAGCTTTCTTCTCTGATTGTTTCTTTTTCATAGCAACCTGTTCTTGTTTTATAGAAGCAATATATTCTCAAATCTCTCAGCAGACTCTAATAAACATTTTAAAGATCGCTTCTGTTATTTGATTTATCTGTTTCCTTTGGGATTAGTTGTTCCATTTGTTTTTCTTGTTCTTTCTCTTTTGTAGTGCTGCCTTTCCTACAAAAGTGATCCTTGATTATTCACCCAACTAGATTAATTATTCTGGGTATTTGTTATTGGTTCCTCTGCTTTGAGTACATAAGTCGGACCCTCTGGCCTCCTTCTCATAAGGATCCAGCTTTGAGTACATAAGTCTGGTCCTTCTGTAAGGTGTGTCTACTAAAGGGCCTCATTACAGGGAATGAGGGGAGAGAGCCAGCTATTAGGTTGAGGACCCCCATAAATAGGATGGCAGACATCCTTGTTCATCCCAAACTCTTCACTTATTTTCTCTGGGGACATTGACTCTTTTTTTTTAATGGAGTAGAGTATGTGTGCCAGGGATAAAACCAGGCTGCTAGTCATTCTGCTGTGGTGGGTAAGGGTAGAGTGTCCTCTGGTACAGGCTGTGGCATGGTCTAATCCCTTATGCCAATCCTGAGCCCAGAGGCCTTTCCTGAGGTAGTCTGGGCTGGGGTTTCCTCTGCTCTGTAATCTTCATTGGAATCTCCTGCTTTCTGTCTTTTAGACACTTGTTAATCTTTCACTTGGTGATTATCCCTTCCTTCCTGCTCTCTTCTACTCATTGTTCTGTGTCCTATTCCCTTTGGCTTTCTTTCTTTTTTTCTTTTTAAATGTCTACCGGGATTAAATTCAAGTACATAAAACAGGAAATCCAAATACCAGTAACCTTAAAAAGAAGGTGAGGATGGGTAATTTTTTTCTACTTCAGGAGTCTGGAGGTAGGCAGTCCTAGGCCGTGTAGCAGCTCCGGGAGGCTGTCAGGCACACTGGCTCCTTCTTTCTTTCTGCTCAGTCATCTGGAACATCTGGCTTCCATTCTCAAAGTTGCCTCATGGTGGCATATGGTCATGGCGCTCCAGCCATCATAGTCACATTCCAGGCAGGAAGCAGGTTAAAGGGGTATCAGATAGAAAGTGCAGGCCATCTGAGCTGGCTCCACTTTAAAAGAATTTTTATAGAAAACCCTTCTTAGTGACTTCCGATTATCTTTGCCTTCCAATCTCTGCAAGGGAGTTTGGAAAATTTAACTTTTTAGCTAAATTTAGCAGAATACGTTATTATTCTCATTATAGGAGTTCTGTTGATGAGGACAAGAAGAATAGATTTGGGGTGTCTTCTGGTGTCTTGAACTAGAAGTGCTGACTTTTTGAAATGCACAAAGGTTCCATCTTTTTCATGGCATACAACAAATTTCAGCCTAAAATGGTTAATGGTGAATATATACTTATGTATGGGAAGAATTTTTATTATAGTTTTAGCTGCTGGGGTTTAACTGTGTACATTTTCTTAGAGATTATTATGCTATTTCTTTGCATGTGTAGTAAAGAAGTAATCTCAGTAGATTTTTAAAGTTTTTAATTAGAATGTTAAAATTCATTCCATTGTAGGGGCAGTTCCTATTGCTACTGTAACATATTAGCACAAATTTAGTGGCTTAAAACAAAATTTGTTGTAATTCTTGAGGTCAGAAATCTAAAATGAGTTTGGCCAAGCTAAAATCAAAATGTAGGGGAGAATACATTCTCTTCCCATTTCCAGCTTCTAACGATCACCTGGGCTCATGGCCCTTCCTGCATTGTCAAAGCCATCTACTTCCAAATTTTCTCAGACCCTCTGGCCTCCTTCTCATAAGGATCCTTGTGATTACACTGAACCTACCTGAATAATCTAGGATAATCTCTCCATTGTAAAACCCCTAATTTAATCAGATATGCAAAGTAGGTTACTTGCTAAGTAAACTAATATTCACAGGTCTAAGATGTGAACGTGGTAGGAAACATCTACCACAGGTAACTCTAATTAAACTTGCCATTGAATTTTTCTTCATTTATATAGTCCCTAAAAATAGCTGCCCCAAAAGGCTTAGCTAAGAACCATCATTCAGTTTTTATCAACACAATGCTGCTGAAAGGATCAGTCGCTTTTGTTTTTTAGTTCAATCTGTTATAAAACTTTCAAAAGACTCTCCAAATGGTGTTGTCTAGTTCATTTCCAAGAAAGATAATTATAAACAATTGTATTTCATTTTGCTTCTTTATATAAAAAATATGTGGAAAGATTTCATCAGAAAAATACTTCATCCAACCAAAATTTCATTGTATTAGCTGATTTTGGAAATTGCAAACTTCTTTATTTCCTTTATAATTCATTTATTGAACTTGTAATTTTTCAGAAAAAAATAATTCCAGTCTGAAATACCAGATGATGTACAACAATAACAGCAACTACCAAAAACATAAAACTTCTAAAATCTGAACATTTAAGACAGCTATGTGAAGAATTTTGGGTCAAAATTTTAGTGTTATTATATTTTCCTCTATCTTTTTATTGGCGATTGTGGTGATTCACTTTCTTATTATGGGTTTTTCCTCTAAAATAATGTCTTTGTAATTAAGATAATTTTTTTTTTCTATTTCTATCTTTATAGCTTAAGAAATGTATTAAAACTCCAGAAATCCCTTCTAAACATGTGAGGAATTGGGTCCCCAAAGTCTTGGAACAACGACGACAGGGTTTGGAAACATATTTACAGGTAAGATATGTTCAGATCCTCAATGAATATAATATAGCTTAAATAGTCATATAGCTCAGTATTTTTTCTCAGAACTTATGGGTGAGATACAAAATATATCAAGCAACTACACATTCTAGATTAAAATTATAAATATGTTGTTGGTTAGTTCTTTTAACTTCAATTAGCTTCCATTTAAAACTGATTATGTGGATCAGGGAAGTGAAAATTCAGTATAAAGGTAAAAACTGATATAGAAAGGGTCTGTCCATTTTTTAAATCAACTCTACAAATTACTTTGTTTTTGTTTTTTGTTTTCCCCTCCAAGATTTATTGCTTCCTCATAGCATTTAGGTTTTGGGTTTTGGGGAGATAGTGGGAGAAACTGCATTTTCAGTGGGTCTGGCTAGCATATCTATGGAATCAAATTGAGAATGAGTGTATAAAAATTGCCTCTGATGAAATGCCACCTTCTTTGACAATTAGAATTTATGGTTTTAAAAGAATGCGTTAGGATTGTCTTTTCTGCAACTGAGAGTTGCAAAAAGAACTATTTAAGTAAGATAGACGAAAGTACTCTCTCTGCCAAGTGACAGAAAAAGCAAAAGGAAAATGTAGCTTTTCTAAGTTTTAAAATGAAAAAGGCTGGAGGCCTCAGGTGACTGACTATTCGGTGTAGTGATTGTTATCCAAAGAGCGCTGCTCAGAGCAAGTGCTGAGATGAGGTTGGAATGGCATATGGAAGCCTTGTGTTCAGAGAGGACACCCGACTCCATTTGAGAGGCTGATGCGTGAGAATGATTGAGGTGCTGTGAGAGGGGGAGTTGGGGAATCTTGACTCTCAAAAAATAAAAAGCTGGACTTCACCTAAGAGTTATGAATTTACCATGATGATCTATGACATGTTACATCAAAAAAATTGGCTGCCATGACTGTGTTCTTCCATTGATATCTTTCTAACCCCTTTAGCATTAGCCCTAGGGGGGATTCT